GGCATGCTAGTTATGATAGTGGAATCACATAAATAATCATTACGATTACAGATCAGTTCACTTTGTCTGCCCCTTTTTAAAAAATGTATCATTTTCAGTTTAGGTAGGCTTTGAAGCCATTACTAGATCTTGAATAAGAGTTTTAGTTGCTCTAAATCTAATCAGATGCTGAAGGGCTGATAGTTGAATCCTTCCAAAATGATATGAGTAGGCCTCAAGATGTAATTGAATTTAACGTCGTTTCTCCACCTAAAAAGGTCTTCCCTTTCCAGACTGGGCTTAACTGCGGTTTTGACCTCGTATGGGACTCCTCAGCGCTCTCAGCAGGACCCGAACCCGGGTGGTTCAGAGTACAATTTCAACATGTTACCTCCACTCGAGTTCGAATCCCGCTGGGGGCGTTGTTGAGACTAAGGCTAAGCCGAAACTGTAGTCCAGACCAGCCTGGATGAGAGTACCTTTTTGTAAACAAGGCTAACTGAAATTTAATGGCATTATTAGGCCAAGTCGTATCATGTCCTTCACCAGTTTATGCTACCTTGGGTAGTTACAGCTCTTATGTCAATTCCTAGATCCATCTAAAGGCAACTTGAGCAAAAGAATACTTATTCAAGCATTATTCTTAGTTTCAAGGCTTACTTTTACCGAATAAAAGTGAGATCGTCGATTGTCATGGCAACTATATGTTTGCCTCAGCGATAATCCCATTGAAAATACGATTCAACAGAGACCTGTCTGGCCGTCAAAATCACATTTGTCCTTTGACAAAATGGCACTTGTGATTGTGTAATTGAGTGTTAGCATGTCGGCATGATACCCACGAACCGGTTGCTTATCGTGTTTGAGGTACTGACGCGACCAAGGCGAGGTCGGAACTGTCGTCAGGCTCAGATTAGAAAACTTTTCTGGGAGGAACTTTAATGGACATTAACTGATATCGTGAGGCCTAATCACAACAGTGCGGGGAAAACTTCACTATTCGTCCCTACATCACTTAATGAGGTCTCGGGTGACAAAGCTATTTTCCAAGGTTATATAAATAAAAGCTGAGTTTCAAAGACTACTTTAAAGATTTGGTTTCCTTTAGAAGGAAAAGTTGGCTATGAGGAATTCATTAATTCATGTATCGTCGAAAGCCGAAGCAGGATTGCCTTGAAAGAGTGAAGATGGTGGATTGTGAGAAGCAGTCATCGACCCAACGTCCAACGACCTCCCAGTGAATCTGTACTGTGATGACGGATATCGTCAAAACGAGAACTTATCCTATATTGAGAACCGCAAAAATATATACTAAACCTAAAGAAAAGACAATCTTGCTCGTTCGGCGAGACCAAGTTACGTATTACCTTCAACAGGCTTTTCCTTCAAGACTATAGTCAAAGCAATCCTACTCGAGAAGTTTTGAAAGTCTCGAAGTCTAATCATTCTGAATGATGAGCTTGCAAATCGGTTCACGATACCAAAAAATGCACAATTTCGTCGGGGTAATAAAGTCAAAAATTTCCGAACTTGGTCTCTTCTGGTTGGTACCTCACCTTTCTCAGGGCGTATCGGCTCTATCAAGCGACCAAAAAACGACTGGGCCGGAGGGGCATTTTTACACCCTGGGCTGGTGTGACTGGATGGAAAGTAGGTAAAGAAAGCTTGCCGTCCACGTTAAAAAACATTGCAAGCACATAAGAGCCCAAGACTCCCGGCGGTATGTGGTACATTCTGACTACCAGGCCTGCTGGCGTCAACACTTTGTAGCATCCCAGGGCGTCTGCTGGGATCGTCTCCAAACCTGAGCAGAACAAAAGGTTATTTCTCGAGCGATTGAAACCTTGGGACATGTCGAGGATCACAAGGTCAAAGTCAAATGGGGGGCGTTTGGTGTACAAAGTGAATGCAAAGTTCATAAAGTAGCAAAGTCGCAAAGCTTGGTAGCTAAATTTCTAAACTAAGTTTATTATGGAAGTAGTTTGGCCTCGCTTTGGCGAAAAATTCATTGTTGCTCAGAGTAAAAGGCTACAAGTGCTACTTGGACGAGTCATTGACAGGCTCTGGAGATTCGGGTTACGAGGTATTATGGTCTGGCATATAAACTCCAGATATTTGATAAAAATAAAATGTGTACAGAAGTAGTTTTACCTCGTCTCGACAAACTGGTGGTGTTGCCAGGGCAACCTAGTTGGACGCGACTTGTCCGATCAGTAGTTATAATAGCTAAAACGTACCATGGACCTGATACATTTACGGACGCTTCGCCGGCATTTAGTCAGCACCGTTAGTGAATCTTGCCATTCTTAGCACGGGCCAAGCCACAATTCGTCAAAGAGACAAGTAAAGTCCAACTAGGTCCAGCTGGCAACACGGCCAAGTTGCGAAAACGAGGTCAGATCACTTCAATTCAGCAAAAGAAGAATGCGGCCAAAACAGATGCCACAACATTTTAGTCCTCATTTCTAATTTTATTTTAATCGTAACTATGAAGACCAAAATTGTGTGCTCTACGTTTTGGTCGCAGTCCCCTTTCGGTGTGCTGAAATGGATTGACTTCATTTTTGTTGTCAGGACGACCTAGATGAGTACATCTCGTCCGAAGCCTCCTGTCCTGATGGTCATGATCATTTCCAGTGTTTCCTGATGCTTCCTTAGCATTGCATTTGGCATTGTCAGTAAATCTTGCCATTCCTAACACAATTCGGCAACTCGGCAAAGTCAAAAAGGGCTAGTCAGTACAATCGCTTCAACTATTCAGCCTCCATAATGGAGTGATATTGGCTATTTTGCCTTCTCTGGATTTGTTTATTTTTAACAATAAATAGATCCAACCAATCCCAATTAAAAATGTCAGCATGCAAATCACGGCAATTGCGATTTCGCCCACGTCCCCAAATAAAAGAGTGTGGTCAGCGAAGCCAGAGCAACTGGATTCTGATTCTTGGTGTTTCTCTAATACGTAAATAATCGAGGAGGTATCACCTCGTAACACATAACAAGAAGTTAATTACGCTGAAGTAAGCATAAAAATGGCGGAATTTA